AAAACTACAGCCAACATCATTCTTAATGGAGAGAGGCTAAAAACATTCCTCTTGAGAACAGGAACACCACAAAGATGCCCTTTATCACCACTCCTGTTTAACATTGTGCTGGAAGTTCTAGCTAGAGCAATAAGGCAAGAAAAAGAAATAAAGTGCATCCAAATTGGTAATGAAGAAGTTAAACTGTCCCTCTTTGTGGATGATATGATACTATACAAGGAAAACCCTAAAGACTCCATGAGAAATCTCCCGGAACTAATAGAAAGATTCAGCAGAGTAGTAGGATACAAGATAAACATACAAAAATCAGTTGGATTCCTATACACCAATAAAGAAAAATGAAAAGGAAATCAGGAACACAATACCATTTATAATAGCCCCTAAAAAAATAAAATACTTAGGAATAAATCTAACCAGGGATGTAAAGAACCTATACAAAGAAAACTACAATACACTACTGCAAGAAACCCAAAGGGATCTACATAAATGGAAAAAAATACCATGCTCATGGATAGGTTGACTCAACGTTGTAAAAATGACAACTCTACCCACAGAAATTTACAAATACAATGCAATCCCGATCCAAACACCAACAACATTCTTTAAAGAGTTGGAAAAACTAATCATTAACTTTATATAGAAAGGGAAGAAGCCCCGACTAAGTAAAGCACTACTGAAGAAGAAGAATAAAGTTGGAGGACTTACACTACTTGACCTCAGAACCTACAATACAGCTACAGTAGTCAAAACAGCCTGGTACTGGTACAATGATAGATACATTGACCAATGGAACAGAATTGAGAACCCAGATGTAAATCCATCCACCTATGGTCACTTGATCTTCGACAAGGGCCCAAATTTCATCAAATGGGGAAAAGACAGTCTTTTTAACAAATTGTGCTGGCAAAACTGGATATCCATCTGCAAAAAAATGAAACAGGACCCATACCTCACATCATATACAAAAACCAATTCAAAATGGATCAAAGAGCTAGATATAAAGCCAAAAACTATAAAGTTCATAGAAGAAAAGATAAGACCAACGCTAGAGGCCCTAATACAGAGCATTAACAGGATACAAACCATAACCATCAACACACAAACCCTAAAAGATAAGCTAGATAACTGGGATCTTCTAAACATCAAACACCTATGCTCTTTCAAAGACTTCACCAAAAGAGTCAAAAGAGAACCTACAGAATGGAAAAATAACTGGTGGAATTACAAGTCAGACAAAGCTCTAATCTGCATAATCTACAAGAAAGTCCAACACCTCTACAACAAAAAAGCAAATAATCGTATTAAAAAAATGGACAAGAAATGAATAGACACTTCACCAAAGAAGACAATCAAGTGGCCAACAGACACATCAGGAAATGCTTGTGTTCACTAGCCATTAGAGAAATGCAAATTAAAACCACAATGAGATACCATCTCACCCTGGCATTACCGCCACGAATCAAAAACACTGGAAATAACAAATGTTGGAGAGGCTGCAGGGAGATCGGAACTCTTGTGCACTGCTGCTGGGAATGCATAATGATACAACCATTTTGGAAAACGATATGCTGCTTCCTTAGAAAGCTAGAAATAGAAATAGCATACGGCCCAGCAATCCCACTCCTATATATGCCCTAGAGAAATAACAGCCATCACAAGATTAGACATATGCACACCCATGTTCATGGCAGCATTGTTCACAATAGCAAATAGATG